CGGACGCTTAACCGACTGCGCCACCCAGGCGCCCCATGATGAGAACTTTTAAAGATTTACCCTTCCAGCAACTTTCAAATATGGAATACAGCATTATTAACTATAATCACGAAGCTATACTTGACATCCTCGGGAGTTATTTATTTTATTACTGGAAGTTTGTCCCTTTTGACCACCTGCACCCATTTCACCCACCCCAGCAACCACCAATCTGTCTGTATCTATGAGCTTGGTTTTTATTTTTAGGTTCCACATATAAGTGAGATCATACTAAATCAACTAAGTATCTTCTTTATCCATGATCTTATCTTTTAGGCATGAAATCAATTTAATGGTTATATTTTATTAACACATTTATCTATTAAAATAAAATATATCTATGCACCAATGAAAATCATTGCATGTTCTCCAGTGCTGTGAGCTCTCTGTTTAGTAGAATTCAAATTCTGAGTTGGTGAAAGCCAGTCTTCACCCTCTAATTAAAAATATGGACTGGGGTGCCTGGGTGGCTCACTCGGTTAACCCTCTGACTTCGGCTCAGGTCATGATCTCACTGTTTGTGAGGTCAAGCCCCGTGTCGGGCTCTGTGCTGACAGCTCAGAGTCTGGAGCCTGCTTTGGATTTTGTGTCTCCCTCTGTCTCTGCTCCTGCCCCGCTCACACATGCTCTCTCTCTCTCAAAAATAAACATTAAAAAAATTTTTTTTAAATATAGAAATAATACACATACCTTCAGAGAGTATTTTGATAAATGTATATAACATTACATGTATGTACAAAGGGAACTCTAAATACACACACACACACACAATTTCAAACGATTGAGAACAGAAATTGAGCAGGCATTAGGCATACAGTCAGGGGCGGTGAGAAGTACTGGCTCCTGGACGTGGCATAACATTTTAATAAGAAACCACACAATCTGGTCAGTGACGTTCAAAATACCACCCCCCCCCCCCAGACATCATGTACTCTCAGCAGGGACCTCAAATGTATAAATTAGTGCCTAGGTTTAAAAAATAAAAAGGAAAACAATATATAGAGATAAGAATCTGAGAACTTGATTAATTACAAAACTCATGGGCACTCTTTCTCCTGGAAGACTGAAAATGAATATGCATGCCTAAAAGGGAGAGATCCCTAAGGACCCAGGGGCTCCACTCCCCACCAAGGGGCATGTTGGGGGTGGGGGTGGGGACTGCTGGCTTCAGGCTCCCTCCGCCCTCTCCCCCCACAGCAGCTCCATGCTGATCTGCTTTCCACACTGTCCTTCCTCATAAATATTTTCTCAACAAATGTCTTTGCTAAGAAGAAATTTGGAAACCGCCGGTGTAATCCAATTTCTGCATTTCACCAGTGAGAAAACTGACGCTCAGAGAAGGTAAAAGACTTAGCATCACTCAACAAACAGCAACAGAATCAGAGCCTAAAGACCTCAGCGTCCAGATTCCCAGCCTGATGTTCACCTCCAAGAACACCCTCACACAGCCATATACTGGTGACCCTAGTGGATGTTATTACATCAATACCCTTGCCTAGCCTTGAAAACGAAGAAGTGTTATTATTAATCATTAATTCTTTGAAGAGAGGAGAGCATCCAGCAATATTTAATGAATTGTTATGAGTCAATGGAACTAAATTAGGAATAAGATGAAGTCATTATTTTGGAAAGTATGATGTAAGGAAGCAGGCACATTTCTTCCTGAAAAGTTGTATAAATCAAATCATGACTAAAATGGATTAGGAAAGCTTCCTAAATTAATAATAATAGAAACAACACTAAAAGCAGCAGTAGTAATTATAGCAACTGTTATAACTTTATGTGCACTGATATCCTTGTAATAAACATTATTATTCCCACTTTTATAGATAAGAAAACTGAGCTTAAGCCCAGGGATAGGTCACCAGGGATAGGGTGACCGACTGCACTGGTTTGTCTGGCATGAACTGGTTTCCCAGGGCGTAGAACTTTCAGTGCTGAAAGCAAAACAGTCCTGGATAACCTGGAAGGGTTGGTCACCCTGCCTGTAGGGCTGGTGACAAGAACTTCCTCCCGTGTCTGCCTGAATCCCCAGCCACCACCACCTTCTATGGCATAACTTCCCTCCATGTTTCACAGTCTAGACTTTCACATATCAGTTTAAAGGAGGGCATGACCAATATGCTATAAAACAACATGTTCACATGTAGCTTCATCTCCTTTCATATGTATATATGTATATAGACAGAGAAAGCCCTGGGAGCTTCAAGCCTCCATTCCTCCAGAAGAGTAAAGAAGGGGCACTTACCTTGACCTCAAACTCGAAGTGCTCGTCCTTCCCTTGCCCGCAGAGCACATAGCGTGGAATACTAATTTTAATTGGGTCCTTCAGGTCGTCTGGATTTGCTCCCAAAGAGCGAGAAACCATCCTCTATCAAAGGCACATCAGATGGGGAGAACAAAGAGAAACCCAGATCACTCTTCAGCAAAAACCATGTTTGGGCAGGCGGGAGAAAATGTGTTTCAAGCAAAGAAGAGAGCATCAAACTAGTAGAGTTTATTTAGAAAAATGATGGCTTCCTTTGAAAGAAATGCTAGGTTTCTCTCATCACAAAAGACCATTTCTTGAGGTATACTATTCCAAGAAATTAGGGCAAAAGCACTTCAAAATGTTGTTTGGCTTTGAAGTTCCTTCCAATTTATAAGAACAAGTGAAAAAACAGACAGATTACATATCCCGACTTTTTAAAAAATCAGTGTAAACCAGATTCCTTTCTGAAAAGACTTGATCATCTGACAAACTTCTTCTCTTTTCACAGACTATCAGATTGCTGTACATATAGCTCCAAAAGCTAAAGACTTTATTCAAATTTACTTCATTTTTAACTTCTAGGCATTTTTATAAGCCAGTATGGTGGGGAAAGCTCTTTAAACCACAATTAAAATAAATACCAAGTATTTTCTTTAGGCTTCATTTGATTAATAATCAGCCTGGCTCTGACAAACATTTATGGTCTGGATGGTGGGAAGCCAGAGGGGTTTGAGAAAGAAGCATTATGAAAAAAATAAATCTTCAAAATGAGTTCTCTTGAGTATAAATGGATAGAAATCTCTGAACAATCCTTATCATTTGCACTAACCTGGGGCTTTAGAAAACGTAAGAAAATATGTTTTTAAAGCAGTAGCAGTAATAAAAGATTAATTACCGTAATTATAGTTAGCATTCATTGAATACTTACTATATACTAAGGACTGTGCTAAACAGTTCATTTAATGCATTTCTGCATCATTTCATTTAATCCTCACGATCTCCTTATGAGGTATTAATTGTCACTGAACCCTACTTATCAGGTGAGGGCCCAAAGTTTGTGAATTAAGATAATGTGACAAAGGCAGGTGGCAGAGCTAGGATTTGAACTCAGGCTAACCCAGTGCCCCATGATGCCTGCTGGCCCATCTCCATCACCATTTATATTGCCATCATGAAATTTTTGAATAACTTCACCCGAGATAAAGTCGGCAAATGAACATTTCAACCAACATACACAGAATTTAAGAAGATGGGAATGCCATGATTATGCAGTAAAATTCACTTATTTGACTAAAAAGAAACACTGAGTAATATGTGGTCCTGGATCCTTAGCCAGGTGTAATGTGGAGGGTCCAGCCTAGCTGTGTGGGAATGAAAGCTCAGATTTCTGGATGACAGACAGGTGTATAATTTGTCTTAGATTACTGCTTTCATCTAGCAGACCCCGTAAACATTTTGGCATGGTATGAAGTTACCAAAGCCTTTTAGAGCATCTAATTTTTTCCCCGTGTGGCTGGTCACCCAAAACAAGAACTGTTAATTTTATGGCAATGGTACACCTACTTAGTTGTCTCTGATGTCAAAAGCTACCGTGGAAATTCTTAAAAAAAAAAAAAAAAGAAAGAAAGAAAAGAGTTTCTCAATGTGCACATTGTCAAAGACCTTTCAGTTCACTGACAGTATGTTTCCAAATTACTGGAAAGGTAGACATTTCCTGAAGCATGGAATATGTTATCTCTTTGAAGGGTGAAAAGGAAGAGAAATAATTTAGTGGTTTTATTTATTTTCAAAAAGCACATTTACTGTTAAGAAATGTCTTTGACCTATGGCTATGTTTTAGCCATAAAGTTCGTACTCTACTGCCTAAGCCCTGAAATCTTCCATGCCATGCTCTTTTTTTTTTTTAACTTTTTAACGTTTATTTATTTTTGAGACAGAGAGAGACAGATAGGGCATGAATGGGGGAGAAGTCCAGAGAGGGAGACACAGAATCAGAGAAACAGGCTCCAGGCTCAAGCTGTCATGAGAGCCCGAGCCAGCGGGGAGACTCAGAACTCCCGCAGATCATGACCTGAGCTGAAGTAGGCCGCCCAACCGACTGGGCCGCAGAAACCCCATGCCATCTCAACTTTTAAAAATATTTATTCTTTTGTTTGAGGTGAGAGAGAGGGAAGAGAGAGAGGAGAGCTCAAACAAGGGAGGAGAATGAAGAAGAGAAAGAGGAGAATCAAAGCCGGCTTCTGCCACTGTCAGTGCAGAGTCCAATGTGGGGCTCGAATCCGTGGACTGTGAGATCATGACCTGAGCTGAAACCAAGAGTCAGACGCCCTTTATTTGATTCACTCAGATATTCTATGCCGTAACTGTAACTACATATATATATATATATATATATATATATATATATACTATATTTACATACACACATATATATATATTTACATACACACACACACACTATATATATATATATATATACATATATTTACATATATATATATATATATGTTTTTTAATGTTTATTTACTTTTGAGAGAGAGTGTGTGAGCAGGTGAGGGGCTGAGAGAGACACACACACAGAATCCGAAGCAGGCTCCAAGCTCTGAGCTGTCAGCACAGAGCCTGATATGGGGCTCAAACTCACAAAGTTGGCAGCTGGCAGCTGTGGGGGTTCTGGCAACTGATAATACTAATTGGGAAACGAAGACCCACATGCTCTACCTTAGGAGGAACCTGGTCCTCCCTACCAGTTAGACCCAAAGGCCAATACCACAGTTCATTTGATGAGGAGCTCTCTCTATGCTAAGAGGCTAGAATTAGGAAAAGGAAGAAGGAAGAAAAGTAGTTAAATGCACTAGGAACAGTATTATTATGTGTATTAGGGGGGTTTAAAAAGGTGTGGATAACAACATCAAGTGTAATACACTTGGTATTGAAACTCTACCATTAGGGGTATCCCTGAAGCAATCACTTGGGATTGCACGTGGGGTTCACCTCAAAGATTCAGAGAGGGGAAAGAGAAGACCCAGAATCAAATCCTAGCATTAGGTCTCGGTCTCAGTGTAACAGTCACCCACCCACCCTTTCTGCACCTCAGTCTCATGTCTATGGAAGTGGGCATGGTATTTAGCAAATCCCATCTATAGAGCAAAAACCCAACTGTGAACATGACAGTGTCCCACCCTACAGGACTTCTAGTCAGAAGCAGAATGACAAGTAAATTCTAGGAGGATTTTAAAACTGTGACAGGGGTTTATAGCGGCATTATTTACAATTTACAATATGGAAGCAGCCCAAGTGTCCAACAATAGATGAATGGGTAAAGAAGATGTGGTACACACACACACACACACACACACACACACACACACACTGGAATACTATTCGGCCACAAAAAAAGAATGAAATCTTGCCACTTGCAATGACATAGATGGAGGTAGAATGTATTATGCCAAGCAAAGTAAGTCAAAGAAAGACAAATATCATATGATTTTACTCATGTGGAATTTAAGAAACAAAATAAACAAGCAAAGGGAAAAAGTAAGAGAGAGACGAAGCAAGAAACAGATTCTCAACTACAGAGGACAAACTGATGGTTACCAGAGGGGAGACGGGTGGAGGGTAGGTTAAATAGATGATGGGGATTAAGGAGTGCACTTGTCATGATGAGCACCGGGTGTTATACAGAACTTGTTGAATTCCTATATTCTATACCTGAAGCGAATGTAATGCTGGATGTTAACTAGAATTAAAATAAAAACTTAAAAAAACAAAACAAAACACTTTGATGGGGGCACTGAGTGAGGAAAACAAGAATATACACATGGCTATCTAAAATGTCATGACTTTTGGGGCGCCTGGGTGGCTCAGTCGGTTAAGTGTCCGACTTCGACTCAGGTCGTGATCTCATGGTTTGTGAGTTCGAGCCCCGTATCAGGCTCTGTGCTGACAGCTCGGAGCCTGGAGCCTGCTTCGGATTCTGTGTATCCTTCTCTCTCTGCCCCTCCCCTGCTCGCTCGCTCTCTCTGCCTCTCAATAATAAATAAACGTTAAAAAATTAAAAAAATAATAAAAAATAAAATAATAAATAAAATGTCATGACTTTTACTGAGGAAGAGCTGCAGCCCAAACCACCCATGTAGATTATTAACCGAACAATGGAGGCTTCAACTTTCTAAATGCCTTTTCTTAGAGGCCCCCTTAGGATATACATCAAACATTGGTATCTTTTACTGAGCACCCACAAGGTACCATTCGCGAGGTCCTGAGAATAGGTCCTGAGAATACAAAATAACTTCTACAAAGTCTCTGTAATCTTAGACCTTTAGTTTTTTCTCAACTGCATCAAATTTTGAACAAAGATTTGGTTTCTCCACTCCAGATGGATTACATTCTAAAGTTAGCCAACTTAGCTTTCTCCTTTTATAAGTCAACATTCAAAGTGGGATAAGACTGAAATTGATGGTCTGGTTACTACATAGCCATTTTAGGACTGGAAAGTTCTCTGTTTCTAACAATTTTATAGTTGTGAAATAATCCCTAATGAAAGTTGCTTGGAGCTTGGGATTATACACCCTTTAAAGACAAAAACTCTTGCCTTTGATAATTTAACTGGGTACATGAAAGAAGTAGAGACCATTTATCTGGGAGGAACTGGATCCTGTAATGTTTATGTAGCTCATCTAAATATAGGACGGCCCCTTATATACCAGCACCTGCACGTATACCACAGAACACAGTTCTGAGCCACTGCCCCAACCGCAGGATCAGACAGCTTCTCTCTTCATTATTTAGCATGCTAGGGGCTAGAAATATTACCAGAGTCCTCGCTATCGCCCAGAGTCACAGTGTACTTCAATCTCAGATTTCAGAGTAACTCCATATTAACAAGTGTAGAGAAATGTACAACTACGGAAATGGGTAACTAAAAAATAACTGCTAAGGATCTGAAGATGTTTGAGCCTTTATCTACAGATAGATGAACAGAGAGACAAATCTAAAGCGTATGTGTTTCTATCAAATCACTGCTGCCATGTGATTTTTAGAAACTATTTTTTGAAGTCAATTTCATGAGAAATGTAGAATTCTCAGAATACAGTGTGAAAGGTTCCTGACATTCC